GGAGCGACTATAAATTCGACCCTTAGTCCCCACCATCCATAATATGTGGTGATTGGTAGGCTGGGAGTTCAATGCCATCATTTTCTTTTAGGACGTTCCGACCATATAGCAAGTTTTGTGACCATTCTTGTTCCATCATTTTGTAGTTCCTTTCTTTGATTTTACCGAATAGTACTTGGCAACATTTTTTGTCTTCATATACTGCCCAGGTTAGTAGTTTGAAATCGTCTGAATGATTTTATTAAACCCTATAAAAAAGAACAATCACTCATGAAAGGCCATACCAAATAATGGCTACGAGCCAGAGAAAGGTTAAAGCGTCACTGCTTGTAAGTCATTGTAACTAGGCTTGATATATAGTGTTTTCCGGTGTTAGGATAGTTCCGATAGAAGCGCAGCAATTTTCGCTTTGTTCCGTCCACCACTTGCATGAGTACAAGGTGTGCTTCGCGATGTCGCGCTCTCCACAGTAGGAGCACTTCACTTATCATCGGGTGTTTAACCGATTTTAAGATTGATGTAATCTTTGTAGACCAGCTTAGGAACAGGGTCACGTAATAGTTTGTTTCTCCGTAGTCTCTGTCTATGCAAGCCTCTATGTTCGGGATTAGTTTGGCCGTTCAGCTGCCCTTTTTTGCTAGGCTCCCACCTTCTCTGCCATTTTGCCCTCAAGCTTGCTCGGACTGCTGTCCTGGGGGTTCGCCTTTGCAACCTGTACTGCCTCCTCCACCAGGAGATCTATAGGTGGTAGCTACGCGCGATTATCAGCAAAACGTCTGTAGAAACAGTTCGAATTTCAGCCTGTCTTTGCACTATCTCGTGTATAACACGATTGCTATCAATCGCCATTGAGGAGCCCTATACTGAGCCCACGTATAGTAATATGGATCTCTCCACTGAGCACATGAATATCCTCTTGCTGGTCCTTTGCCAGTTGAACATAAACCTACTCAATGCCATTATCGCGTTTTTTGGAGGTGGGTCCGAAACTTCAGATTGAAATCTACCCATACTCCTAGTAGTTTATTTCTGTTCTGGGAGTAATCTCCATGTCCTTTGTATAGGGTAGTCTGAGGAACCTGTCGCTTAGAGTAGACAATGACTGCCTCTGTTTTCTCTTTTACTAGGAGCAAGTGTTTGCTGGTCATCCATTTTTGAATCTGCGTCATTGCCGTTGTTATTTTGGTCTTAATCCCCTTCAAGTCTTTGCCCAAAGCGATCACCGCGACATCAACATCGTGGCCCTTTAAAGTGACTTCTGCAGGAAAATGAACGTTCAGTAAAAGATGTTCTACATCGTGGGACAGAGAGTAACTTCCACTGTCATGTGGGAGTTTCTACTTTTCCCTTCTGTCTTTATAGAAATTTCCCTGGTTGTTAGGTAGCTCTGAATGACTTTAATCAAATATGGGGCTGTGCCTTTCCTTTGAATTTCGTCTACTATCTCCTTCCATGAGGCTAAGCTGAATGCATTCTTGATGTCAAGTGTAACAATGATCTCTACCTTCATGTGTTTGTGGCTTCTTTTGTATATATACCTCTCTTGAGGATTTCCAGTACGCTTTGCACGGCTGTTATGGTTGAGCTGCCCCGTCTGAAGCCGAACTGTCTAGCCGAGAGGTTTAAATCCTTGTAGAGCCTAAAGAAGATGATATGCACCAAAAGCGTGCTTGCAGTGTCTAGGAGGCACAGGGGTCTGTTTTTTGGTGTCGCTTGGTGTTGTGAAAATGATTTATATTCAACAGTATATCATTGGCCGCCGCCATTTTTGCAAACATAATTTAATGTCTTTTTTTTTTTTTTAAGATAAAAGTCAAAATGACATTATGTTGGCAATACAATGTAAAATTGTCAATGCTTTCAAATTTTTTATGTAGAAAAGGCTTGTGTTGCCAACAAAGTTACTAAATTTTTGACTTGGGGAATTATCTTTAAAAAAAAACGGACTTATTTAAAATTTTCAACACAATTGTGTGAAGTGAGTTCGGAATGATACAAAGTGTCAACACTTTTGACACTTTCGACACTGTGGCGTTCGTTAATTAGCAGGAGTAAGTTTGGAGTACACTTTATTTGAGTTTAGAAATAACTCGGTGCCCGAATTGTGTAAAAATGGTGGGACACCGTTTACTCGGTAGAAAATAGAAAGTTCTCGTGCGTCATTTTGGTCTTGGGCGGGATTGGAACCCGCGTCCTCAGCATTGTCGGTGATACGCTCTAACCAACTGCTGAGAACGCGAGTTCGAATCCCGCCCAAGACCAACATTTTTAATCCTCCAATTTTCCTTAACTTTCTCTTCATTTTCACATCTTACTGACGAGAAGTTCATCGGATTTGCTTCTTTTAATCAAAAGTGAATGAAAAAAATTGGAAAGGCTATGAATGCAAGAAGTCCGGAAAATCTCCTGGAGATGATGGCAAGCTGTCTGATAAATGCTCGTGTTATTCATCATCTCAGGATAAAAAACAGCTTGGATCCATCACAATACAATTATCTTTACAAGAGAAGCGACCCATAAGACATTCACTTATCGACCCATAAGTCTATATTGTCAGATTCACAAGCTCTTCAGGCGGATTTATTTCTCCACAACAGATCCAGAGGATTTCTGCAAGGTGAGGTAATCTCTCCAAAACTTTTCAACATCTAACAGGAAGCGAATGTTCGAGAAATTGGAGTCTAAGGACATGAACATCAATGAGGAATCTTCATAGATTCACTGTCGACATTTTTTTTGGTTACTGACGGTGCCGATTATGCTAACGAGATGATGATATCAGAAGAAACGTGACATTTGGGACTTAATAACGAAATTCAGTTTATGACAGATCTTGTAGGTACCAACTCTTCCTATCTTGATAGGAAAGAAATTGAACAAAGTGCATCAAGGTGAAGACTCTAGTAGGCAGTATTCAAGGAGTTCAACCATACTTTTAGATCAAATATTTCAATTTGGAAGAGAACATAATATTTGGTTCAATATTTACTGCCTGTAATGATGCATATGAATGATGAAGCCTTCAAACACATGGGAACGCTGCTTTCCTATTTCAAGAATAAGGAGCCTGAGCTTCATTAATTTTCCCTTGGTGTTTTTTTTTTTCGGAGGAATTATTAGAAGTTGCTGTTCTTGGAGACGTAAATGGAGCGGAAACTAAGTTTGACATAGCGTTACGGTAAGGCATCCGCTAACTCTAGTCAGGTAGCGGGCTCCGCTAACACTAATACCGTAAGAATTGTCACACTTGCCAAATAACATTACGGTATTTGAAATTTGGACAGCACGAGAATTCTCTAATGATGGTATATTCGGTGTTAGACCACCGATTACACCTTCATTACGTGATACAACCCTGCACTACACGAACACCGCACTAAAATCCCATTAACGAACAAGAAGTCCGGATAATGCTTTCTGAAGGTATCATTGAAAAGAGTAATTCGCCTTGAAGAGCTCAAGCTTTAGTCACTTCCAGTACAAATCATAAGAGACGAATGGTAATCAACTATGCCCAGAATATAAACAAATTCACTGAATTAGACGCATATCCACTTCCAAAAAGAAGACATTATTTCAAAAGTGTCAAGGTACCAAGTTTTCAGCACTATAGATCTAAAGAGTGCATATCACCAAATTCCAATTCTCGAACATTAAAAACCTTATACAGCGTTTGAGGCATGCGGCGAACTATATCAATTCACGAGAATTCCTTTTGGTGTTACCAATGGAGTTGCTAGTTTTCAAAGAGTTGTTGACAGTATAATCAAGAGAGAAAATCTTCAATTCAAGGCACATATGCCTATCTTGATGATATCACAGTAGGTAAGATGAAATTGAAAATCAACAAATCAAACCTGATCCCTTCCTTTTTCCAATTTTGGCCATGCATCTTTAGCTTTCGTAGCAGTCTTCAAGTGAGAATAATTCAACTTCTCCACAGACAAGATTATTTTCGAAAGAACGACTTTCCACAGGTCATAGGAAGGAACAGGTATTCTAATTAATAAATCTTTTAAGAAATATAGCAAAAAGAGGCTAACCATCTATAAAGTTACATTTTTGTGGTGAGTCTTTTTCACATTGCTGTGTTCTAAACTGAAAGTCCTGTTGCTATATCTATTATGTGGGGTGCATGCACTATCCGAAAAAGAAATAAAACCTAGCTCCGTCCATATCCCACCCCGCAGTTCCTTATCGAGGAAATAAAGCGCTGGTTTTAGAGGCTCCTAAATGTGCCATAAACATTATCTCGGGCTCTGTGTAGATGATATGTAAGGAACTAAACTTGCTTTATCCCTTTTATACGGGCCACTTTCAGCGCTTAATGAAACCGTTACCCCGTTGACGTTCGAATTCCCAAATGAATACTTTTTCGTAACAAAAAAAACATCAAAATAGGGAAAAAACCTTAGTTTATTTTGTGTGGAATTGCAATCCCGACTTCTTTATAGAGAGAAACTCAATTTTTCATCGATAATACCAACCCTCGGAAAATATTTTTCTCACAGCGATCGCGCACCTGGTATTATTAGCAATCAAGCCCGGTAATTGCTTCCAAACCCTCGGAAAATCTCTTTTAAATGCACTGTCCATTTTCCGCTATTGGAAACTTATATATAAAAGTTCGTCTATAGCATCCCAGAGGGAAATCGATTCTTTTAATTTCAAACGTGGAATTTTTTAGGAAAATGTTTTCTTTTTTGAATTTTTTCTTTGTTACAGAAGTAAATGGTTAATAGTAGGTACCTAATTTGTTGCTACAAGATGTTTCTCTCTTAAACAACTTTAAACAAATCAAAATAAATTTTCCACCAGTTGTGTCTATTTCTAGCCAGCACCACTAAAACAGTTTACTTAACGTTTCACTAATCACCATCCATCCAATCCCGATTGTTGTCTTAACTAATCCCGCCTTGAAGCACTTAAATTAAGGCGTCCGGGTACCACCTCCGTTTGGTGGGGAAGCGTTCCCGAATTCCCAGTACGATTCCCGAGGGATTTCAGTAGTGATTGACAGACGTCGGCAGCTTACACAAACCGAAAATAAAGTGCGTGATGTTTTAACAATGTTTCCTGCACCGTTATTGGATTCTGGTTGCTATTGTCTAGATCATTTTAGTGATTGTTTGCAAACTGCACAAAGCAACGCTTTTATAGCACAAAGTTTTTTCAACCCTTACCTGTTTTTTCCCTTGCCTCTTAAACTATCGCAACCCAGGCCTGAAAAACCTCCTTATTCTTACATAGCCCTCATAGCCATGGCGATATCATCAAGTCCAAAACAACGCCTCACCCTATCAGGAATTTATAGGTGAGTCTTTGTTTCAATTCAATCATTTGGATGTGAAACTATAGCGAATGATTGTTTTAGGTTTATTATGGACAACTTTCCATATTATCGTGAAAACAAACAGGGTTGGCAAAATTCGATAAGGCACAATTTGAGTTTGAACGATTGTTTCGTGAAGGTGGCTAGGGATAAGGTGCACGGCGCCGGTGAAGGTGGAAAGGGTTCGTACTGGATGCTGGATCCCAAGGCGGCCAATATGTTCGAGAAGGGCAATTATAGGCGGAGGAAAACTAGGCGACAGCGGTTGGGAGAAGGCGAGTGTTCAATTTTCCAGGTAAGAATTTTTCTCTCAGAGTGATTATTAATGTATCATTACTTTTCTGGGAAAGTGAATTTGCCCATCGTAGCTCATTTATTAAGCAACTCAATAACTTTCTGGAATTGATATTACTATCTTAAGATAAAAATCCGGAATGATATTGTACAAGACTACAAAAAGTGTTGATCTTTGAGAACTAACTATAGTTTTCTTATTGATAACTTTGCGAAATGCTCTTACAGGTTGTTGTACGTAGAAGTTTTTTCTATTGAAGTGTGGCATAGGTTTCTGGCTTCTTCGTTTATTATTTTATCAGCTGTAGTGTATATAAGGGTTGATGAAAAGATGCTTGACAAAAGCTTAAATGACAAGAATTATTCCCAAGAAATCTTTGGGCATGTCTAAGAATAGCTTTGAAGTTTAATTTTTCATTACAATTTATTATGAAGGTGTCCGAGATATTCAATGCTAGATTCGAGAAAGTCAAGTTAAGATTAGAATTGCATGTTTATAACTTTTGAAAATAAACTTTGACATTCTTTGATTGATTTATGACCCATTAATATTAATGTCATGGATATTATAAGTGGGTTAACATTTATATGATCTATGATTTAATGATATTAAATTATTATAGTTCTGTTGATATATAAGGAAATACTACTGAAAGGAACCTGGTATGTAGATTATTGAAGAAATTAATCAAAAAATTCACTCCACATTCTTTAACGCCATTTTATCTCAACAACTATAAGTCCAAATGAGCTGAAATTTTCAGGGCTTGTAAACTTCTACCTAAGGGATAAGATAACTTTTCTTGTTTTTGCCCCAGATTGCTACGATATGTTCCAATATTCTTCTTCTGACGAAGAAGAGTTTGAAAAAACCGCGAATGCGGCCAAAGAAGGTTATTTTTTCTTCCAGTTTCTCATCCACAAACATAAATTGATAGCCTGTTCTAATGCGGATCTAAATAGAATTTTCTCTAATCAGAATCAGGGTGATCCCAAGTGATAAAAAAAATTGTCGTGTTAAAAGGGTTTTTCTACTTATTTAAAACTTATTTTTCTTTCAGTTTGATTATTAGGATTGAGCATTATTCAAATAAAACATAGAAATTCCAAGGTTTTATGATGAGTGTCTTCTACAAAATCCATAAGTAGAATGTGTAGAAACTATAGATCAATATTAAACCTGAAATAATTCCTTCTGTGTTGTTTTTCTACAATCTTCGTTAGTCTCTATACAGTCTTCCTTCACAATCTCAAAAAAAGTCTTTGAAGCATTTAGAATCTCTAAAGAATTTAGTCTCGTGTGGTAGCTATCCTCAGAGTCTTTAGATTTCCCATTCTACAATCTTCAAAAGTCTTTAAAGCTTCTTAGAAGTCTTCAGTGTGCAATCGTTGCAATTAAGTATTTTTATCGTTCTTTGAATTTCTCTCCGATATTCAGAAAAATAATTTGAAAAGCACCAGAATCTAAAAATACTTTGAGGTTTTTGTCTCAATTCTTGAGTCGATGTTTTCTAGATTCCCCCAGTCTAGAGAGTCCTAGAATCTTCAAATTCCTCATTCTAGAATCTGAAAAATTTGCCTTTTTTTTTCTTCAGAAACTTGAAAGTCCTCTGTTTTGTATTTCCTGAATTTTCGAAGTCTTTAAACTTTGCAAAATGTTTAGTCTTGATACAGTGCTTCCTTTACAATGTTAAAAAAAGTCTTTGGAACATTTAGAGTTTATCTGTTGGCATGCTAAAGCCTTAATCAGGCCAATGATGTATCCTGTTCTGTTATTTTAACGGCTAGGCTCAACATCTATTTCTGTCTCTATTTTGATGTATAGAATAAATAGGGACATAGTGACAGATAACTTAACGTTTCTGTTAAAATAACTGAAAATGATACATCATAGACCTGAATAGCTGCTTGGCTGTCTGAGAAAATCGTGATATCCTTATGCATATCCCTTTCTCAGATTTTTCCGCAGGCATATCTCTATTGAGTGTTTTTCGGCTTGGAATATGGAGGTGTGGTTCCCCAGTGGGGAATACCATTTTGATCTTGGGGATAGGCCATACTCCGGCACCGATTCCACTGTCGGTTTTGGAACCATCAGTGTACCATACTAACTGTCCATTCTGGACTAGTGAGTTTTCTGTTTTGTTTTCTCAGTTAATCTGGGTTTGAAACAGTTTGTGAGTATTTATTCTCGGGGTCATGATGTCACTTCTCATCTCAAATAGTGAGTTTGTAACAATGTTTGATATCCTGATATGTTCGGATGTTCTTCTCGGATTCCAGTTCTGGCAACAATTAAGTCTGTGAGCCCCCATTCTTTCCTCAGCTTTGATAATGATATCAAGTGGTGGGAGGTTTAGTATGGTTTCCATAACAGCAGCTATGGAGTGCTTCTCATTGTACCATTGTACCCATTATGCAGAGACAAGCCATCAGTCTTTGAAGTTTGGATAGCTCCAGTTGCTTTGCTCTGTTCAACTTTTGGCCACCACACCGTAGGTTATTCTGGGTCTTACTACTAGTTGGGGTAGTTTGGATTAGTTCCACTGCTCTATTGGTGGCAATAAGCGCCATTTTTCGTTTGTTGGTGCCGTACCTATCCAATATGCGCGTTCCAGGTTAGTTTTGCATCCAGTATAATTTCTAGGTATTTGATTTTCACGCACGAATTGTATTTGCTTTCCGAAGAAAGTGGGGAAGACTAGATTGTTCAGTTTTATTTTTTTCTAGAAGGGGATTATAGGATTGACACTCAGGTTTGTCCCTTTTATACTCAGTCTTCCACGATTCTAAGCGCTCTTTGCATTTTCGCAGAAGTAATTTGTAAATTTTTCCCCATGACTACAGTTACTACCTAGGTACATTATCTGAGTAACCCTTTCGTTGGTTAGGTATTTGTAAACAAACAACTATTTTGAATTTCTAAGTATTTTCGAAGTTTAAGTTGATAACGTTAGTAAATGGTAACCGGTGTGTACTCCTTAGAGGCAGTATTTCACTTAAATATATCAAAAAGTGAAAAGTAGTAGCGGATTGCTAAAATTTTACAGGATAACAAGTTGAAGTTAGAATTCACATAATGTCCAATTTTATTTGTACGGCCTCCACACTGGATTTGGGAACAGATGAGAAGCTTACAGTTGCTTGTGACAGCTTCAAAAGCCGCACACACCTTGCAGAAAAATGTTCAGGGCTCTCATCCAGAATCCAGAGCTGTCATCCTACAGAAGCGCACACTTATGCATTCTGCCCTATATGTCGTGAAACATTCAGAAGTGTGCCCATTATGGTCAGGAAAATGACCGTAATGGAGGAGATTACATCCCTCAAACTGAAAGTGAAGGCTCTAGAAAAACAAAAGTTGGATAATGCAGAGGCCATGCACTACGAAGTTTCTCAGAGTTTCTAGAACACAGAACCTTATGGTTTACAATGCGGCAGAATCCAACGCTCGCCAGCTAAATGAACGCATCTCACATGATAAATTCATTGTCTCGGAATTATTTGTTAAGTTGAGGGTACAACAGGATCTCCAATCCCATCAAAAAAGTGGTGCGTGTGGGCAGGAGTGGAAATAATACAAAATCAAGACCCGTTAAGGTCACAGTAAGATCAGCAATTAAATCTGCAAGCAAACTACAAGGTACAAGGCTCAGGATCTCCACTGATCAAACTCCAACACAATAAGAGGCTTATAAAAATATCAAAACAACTCTTGACGCCAGAAAGGTAGCTGGTGAGGAAAACCTGTTGATAAAGTATCGCAATGGTATGCCGACCATTGAAACCAAGCAGCAAAAAAACACAACATCACCCCATTGACCCTTTACTTTCAAAACGCAGGTGGCTCCGGACTAAATTGACTGAGCTCTTGAGAAAAGAAGTATGCTGTGCTTATGTAATTGTCATAGTGGAAAGTAATTTGTGTGGAGATTCAACAAATAATGAAATAAAATGCGATGGATACAGCCTGTACTGAAGTGATAGAAGTTCTATGACAAGTAAAAAAATCAGTGGAGGTGGTGTGTTGATATTCGTCAGCAGCAAAGTGCAATCACAACCTATTAAAATTGCGGAAAACAGAATAGAGCAACTGTTTTTATTATGTCAAATAAATAACAGAAAATTTATAGTAGGTGGAGTATACATACCTCCACAATCTCCTCGTGACACATATATCAGGCATTGTTCATCAGTAGAGAATATGTCTACATTACTCGAATACCTACAAATTTTAACTTGGTATGGGAGACTACAACTTGTCCAATACCTAGTGGTTTAATGATGAGCTAGGGGTAATGGTTCGGAGTCCAGTGGCCAATGGGTGACTCAGCTATGGAAGTGGCACAATCTTTTGGGTATGTCAAGTTGTTCCAGCATAATTCCATACTAAATGATCGTGGAGTATTCTTAGATTAATTTTTTTCTAATATGTTAAAGTCTTGGATGTAAGGAGGGCCTGTGATTCCCTGCTGGAATCTAGTCTGCATCATATAAGTTATGAATGCACTATATCTGTTTCATGTGACCACAAAGCCAATAGTCTTACGTAGGTACAATGAATTTTACTATGATTTTCGAAATGGAAACTACAAGGACTTGAACAACTATCTAGCTTTTATCGATTGGATGATATTGCTGGGTAATAGTAACCTAAATGAAATCACAAATGTTTTCCATGAAATATTTACCCCTATTGAGAATTTCCAAATTTTTTGATATAATGTAGTCTAGTAGGTACTTACCTCTTATGTTGACGTCGCTGCTACCCCACACAGTGTGGTGTGCGCTTGCATCCATCCCTACTATCATCTGCAGGTTTAATTGCGTGCAGAGTTCGTTGAATTGTGATGGTTGGATAGAGTCATATTATTATGGTAGGAAGGTTGAAACGAGGAAGGCTTCAAACCTTACACCAGCCAACCTGCCTTCCATGGATATGGAAAGCACCCACAAACTAAAAATACTTTGAGGTTTTTGATATTGAATCTATTTTTTTTA